TGGCTTGTAGGCGCCATGATAACAGTTCCGATCAGCATCTCCAGTCCGTACCAGGGTCAGGACACTGATGCCAGCGGGCTCGGCCGGTCCCCCAAGGTAAGCAGTGACATCAGCGCACTGGTGCTCTTTGTTGTGACGGTGATGAACCTTCGGGTTCTTTAAGAACGGACAGTGTCAGGATTATGGGAACAGGTATCTGACAAAAAAACTTGAAGCCCCGTTGTGTAATTAGATAAGCACTATGTCGTGAAGACGTGGAGGTGTAGCTCCACCTTTCTTGACCTTGGAGGTGAGTGATCAGCTTCACGCCCCTGCCGCTGTGCTGCACATTTGGATGGAGGAGGCTGGGTGAGCCCCAGAGTCGGTATGGATGCTGTGGAGAAGAGAAGAATTTTGCACTGGCGGGAATAGAACCCGGACCGTTCAGCCCATAGCCCGTCGCTATCCTGACTCTTTACAGCACGTGGTGCTCGAGTTAATTGTTGACTTATTATTTTCATTTCGTGTATCCTGTTGTGATATTAAATACAATTCTTTATAGAGACCGTCACAAGAAAACAATACAATGGTCAAGGCTAAAATTAGCTCAGCTACATGTTTCGGCTGTTAAAGCCATCACCAGGCAAACACATGATTACCGTATTCATACTGCTGAACTGCAATTGCGATGGTGAAGCTGGATACTTGATAATTATTACATTATAAAATACAGTGAACTGTAAAATTATTATAAAAACAAAAATTACGGCGTAAAATAGGGTTAAAAGCTCTTCATGTGCTATTCCATATCATCAAGCCAGTCGTTGCAATTTTGTTATATTCCCGTGGGCATAACGGTATGTTCTGTACATGCAATGAAGTGCTTGGAGGCCCGTGGTATGGATGTACACGTAGTATAGTACTGACATGAATTGTTTGGCCGGCGCCTCATCTTACAGTGTATTTTGTCCTTTCTGTGGGGAATATAGATTGCTTTTGTAAAAGCAAATGTTGATGTAGTAGCTTCTTTGTTTTGAATACTGATTGTTGCTGTGTAGACGGAGTATTCCATATTCTATATACTTTTATCTTATATCTGTTTGTGTAGTTTTCCTGTATATCGCCAATTCTGATTTTGTTTTTCGGTGTATTATAAGATGCAGGAAGTTAATGGAATGATATTCTTCTTAAATAATGAATTCTGTATTAGTTTTTATTGAATTTTACTAATTATAAAAGACAAGTCCGTCCAGTGTGACTATTTCAGTTATCCCACTTGATGATTCACTAGCCTTACATGTTTCGATCCATTTGGATCATCTTCAGAGGCACCAAACACTTTTTAGAAACCACTATCACAGCGGTTGTCAATCAAATACACATGTAATGTCCAAGTACACAATGTTGCATCTATCAGTCACAGCAGCCTTTCTGGTTATAGAAATATTTAAAGTTGTTTTAAAGTTTTAAAAACTTTGTTCAAAATTAAAATTCATAAATCTTACGGTTCGTGTCAGTAACCCCTGTTGTCTCTCTTCTAGGTGGCTGATGTTGTGCCTCCTATGTAACTTGAGTAAGGAGATTCTGTAAATATATCATGGGTACTGTATTAATAATTGTAACTGTTAGTGTGACGAACCAAAAATGAAACAAATCAGATTTTATTAATATTTCGTCTATATTTGTTATTTTGTTATAAGTTAAGAAAATGTCTTCTCCATACGTGAAATATCCAATAATTTGATACTTCGTTAAGATTGGATATAGGTGTTTATGCTCCATATATTGGATATATGCTTCGTCTAATATAGCGGATGAAGGAGCACCCATTGCTAATCCTTCAGTTTGTTTGTAATATTGTTGGTCGAATTGGAAGTAGTTTTGCTCCATCACTGCTTTTAATATATTTATTATTTATTGTTGATTAGTTTTTATGATTTCTGGATCATTTTCTATTATATTTATAACCTCTGATTTCGGTGTATTGGTGTACGTATTCTCTATGTCGAATAAACATATTCTCATCTTCAATATTTTCGGTCTGTGGTAAAATGTGTCCAGTTTTGGATGTTGTGTGTGTTCGGTAGGTGTAAGCAGTTGTGTAATGTTTTTGTTAGAAAGTTCGCTAGTTCGTATGCGAGCGCATTCCTGCAATTAATTATTGGTTTGATATGTGTAGTGTTTTTGTGGCGTGAAAATTTGGGGCCGTTGGGTTCGTGTTTATATATTTTCGTTTTATTTTGGTATAGTATTATTATAATACTATCTACTCTATGCTCTGTCTGTAATTGGCCTTGCGGCTGTTGACTCGGCACATAAATAACAAAGAATTTAATTTAATTATTATTATTATCCTTGAGATTTGTACAGTATTGTACAGTGTTGTGAAATATATTGTTCAGAAATTGAATATAGTGTTGAACAGAAAATATGCATATTTATACAACGTTCATCGTCAGAAATGCATAGAAAGGTTCGTAGGAAGAATCCTGACAAGTATAGTGCCGGATAAAGCAACGATCCACAATATCAGAGCATGATTGCGTTCTGTGAGGTCAGTGTTGAACAGAAATCTCGAGAAGGACACGTACGGGCTGAAGTACAGAACTTGGTAACATCGGTACTCGATTATAGACAAGCCCAAAAAGTTGTTACGTCTTTTGGCTTTTTATTGTGGGTTGACACAAGTGCAACTCAACATCGGTGCAAAGTTGCTGAAGTTACAGCTTAATAAAACTGCAGTTGTACAAACTTAACTTATTGCCTTCAGATTGCGAAGTAAAAGTTCGACATTGTATATGGGATCGAGGATCGGCACTCACTGGAAATATTTGCCAATAATTTACGTTTTATGTTCACAAGACAAGTTTCACTTTAATAGGTTTATTTAAGCAGCTAGAATAAAGAAAGTCCTCATGCCATTCATGAAGCATCATTGTATGATTTTGAAGTTGTGGCTTGGTGTGTTGTTAGTGCGCAGATGATAACAATGGCCGTGTATTATTCACAAAAGAACAAATTTCGAACGTTACGTGAAACTGATTCTGTCACCCTTTTCCGATCACCAGACTGATGAAGAGAAATTCTACTGGCATTTTATACAAGATAATGCACCGAAAACACTGCAAGCACGTCTGTGGATGCATAAGATGAAGTCTTCGCGAACGGCCGTAAGTCGAGGATTGTGCCCACTGCGAGCGTATGGTTAAAATCCTTGTATATGAACAACTCGCATTGTTTGGAAGAACTTCTAGAAAGTGTTAGGCATGGAATTTCGCGCTGTTGCTGTATAGAAGCTTCAACTTTTGTCTAGAAACTTGTTCTCACGATGTGAGGTATGCTTGGAAGCAGAGGGTCGTTGCTTCTATAAAATAACGCGAAGTTTATAAAGCGCAGCGTAAAGCGGGTCTGCAAAAAGAGTGCCATATCGGCTGCGGGAAACAGCCCAACGATAAACTGCACCCCGGTACAAAACGCTAGGTTAGCGGTAACAGTTGCAGTCCGAGAGATGAAGTATAACGAAGTTGGGACGTGACATATCAGAAAACAGTTTATGCCGGAAGGGGGACAGCTCATGCTGACTAGGCTACGGGCTTGACCGAGACAGAGGCAAGAGATTTATTCTTCCCGACAGCCTCCACACCGGTTCTGGGGTCCACGCATTCGTCTATCTAACGGGGCACAAAGACGGCGGATAAACCTGCATGTAATGCCCGCCAAATATTAGAACTACTTACTTACTTACTTACTTATGGAGCTGAGCCCTTCTGGAGGAGCCGCCAGTTGTGCAGCTACTCAAGAACTTCCCAGCATTTTATTGGACCCGAAGGTTCATTACCGTGTTCACAAGAGCTCTCCACTGCTCCCTATCCTGAGCCGGATCTGTCCAATCAATCCCATCCCATCCTATCTCTCTAAGATCCATTTTAATATTGTCCATCCCATACATCTTGGTCTTCCCAGTGGTCTCTTTGCTTCTGGCTTTCCCACCAATATCCTACATGCATTTCTCTTCTTTCCCATTCGTGCTACATGCTATGCTCACCTCATATTTCTTGACTTGATCATTCTAATTATTCTTGGAGAAGAGTACAAATTATGAAGCTCCTCATTATGTAGTTTTCTCCAACCTCCTGTCACTTCCTCTCTCTTAGGTCCAAATATTCTCCTCAACGTAAAACAGGATAACAGACAAAAGTAACCTTGAACCTGAAAGAATGAGTAGTTCAGTGTTGCAGTTTGAATCTCACAGTGCAGTTCAGAGAGATCTTCTTTGGTCATATATCCAGGCCATGAATCTCGCCATCTTTTTTACGGTATTACAGGGCTCATTTCCTCTTTATCAGAATTATCTGTAGGTGGAACCTGAACAATAGTTGTGACGTCTGTAGCTTGCTGTGCTGACTCCAGCTCTGATGGAGGGACTGCATCCATAAGACTTTTGGACAAGTCTGTCCCTATCTGTGGTCCCTGCAGAGGGAGTGTGCGCCAGGAGCATGCTGGTCCATGGATTCAGTACATTCAGACCACTTCAGAATTCAGATTCCCCCCTCCCTCACCCATGTAACACCCCAGTATCTCCTGTCTAGACATTACAAGGTCTTCTGAGAAAGAGAATAGCTTTTAAATATTTCATATGTGGTTTTTTTGGGTTTGGATCTGTGTGCTGATATGACAGCAAATTTGAGGTTCTCATGGCAGTGAATATTAAGGCAGGCCTACTTTCTGCTGGGATGTGATGTTTTTGTAATAGATGGGTACTAAAATTTTTAGGAACATTGTGTTTGATAATTCTGTGCTGAAAATGGAGGCAGTGGGGTTCACTTCCTCTGAAACTTTGGTACTTATCTACAAGTATATATGGCGTCACTTTACAGAAGACTGTACTATTGACATTAGAAGAGTTCAGTCCATAAACCACTGGATTGACTAGTCAGTTTAGAGGTGATTCATGTACTCCAAACACTGCACTGTATGAGAGCTGCAGTATGGAGTTCACTTTTGTGTTTCCTGTGTTGCAGGTAGTGGAGCTATTCAGTGCAATGAGGGACCAGGCCAAAGATGGAAACACTGTTGCTGGAAACAATGGCCGTTCCCTTAGTAGTGCAGCTACTTTAACATCACTCTGTGCCGACATTTCTCCAAGCTCCTCACATTTCTTTGAAGTATGTATACCGGTGTTAATAACTTGTTTTTATTCATGTTATATTTTAGCGTCCTGTTGCACTGATTTAAGTCCATGATTTATTTTATCCGTCTTCTAGTGCATACATTCATCTATCACCTCTTCTCACTCACTACATGTTTCGGCACAAATGTGCCATCTTCAGGTGCTGATCCAATCCACGACAAACTAGTTCATTGCATGCCTTGTCTATACATACTAAAATTTTATTCATTTATTAAACAGTGCTCTGATAATTACAATTATTATGCAACATTAGATGAGTGACTTATTGATCTCTTCATTGGATTTATGTATTTATTTATGTTCCTTTATTTGCTTATTCAAATTGTATTTTTGTCTGTGTAACAGTTGAAACAATGGTTCCGATCCTAATTTAAATCTAACCTAACCTTACCAAACCCAGCCTTACCAACCTTGGCCCAATCTAACCTAACCCTACCTAATTAACCCAACATAACATTGCAAAACAGCATGACATCATAACCCAAACCAAAAGAACATAAATTAACACCAAACAATACACAGAGTTCATATGGAGAGGTTCAATCTTAAGAAATTAGATGAGGTTGAAGGTAAGGAGCAGTATTGTGTTGAAATCTCAAATAGATTCGCGGCTTTGGGAAACTTGAACACTGAGGTGCATGTTAATAAAGCCTGGGAAAATATTAGAGAGAATATCAAAATTTCTGCCATGGAGAGCTTAGGTTATTATGAAGTGAAGAAGCATAAGCCAAGGATGGATGAAGCATGCTCAGAATTACTAGACCAAAGAAAGCAGGTCAAATTACAGTGGTTACAGGATCCAAGCGAGTTAAATGGGGATAATCTGAACAATATAAGACGTGAAACCAGCAGGCATTTCAGGAACAAAAAGAAGGAATATCTGAAAGACAAAATTGATGAGCTTGCAATGAACAGTAAGAACAAGAACACTAGAGACCTGTATAGAGGAGTAAATGACTATAAGAAGGGTTACCAGCCTAACAGTAACTTAGTGAAGGATGAGAATGGTGATCTGATGCAGATTCCCACAAAATTTCGAATAGGTGGAGGAACTACTTCTCTCAGTTATTGAATGTACATATCGTCAGTGATGTTAGGCAGGTAGAAATGCACACAGCTGAGTCATTAATACCTGATCCCAGCCCTTTTGAGGTTGAAAGTGCTATTGCAAAATTCGAAAGGTATAAATCGCCAGCTAATGATGAAATTCCGGCAGAACTTATTCAAGCAGGAGGCGAAATACTACGTTCTAAGTTCCACAAGCTAATTACTTCTATTTGGCATAAGGAAAAATTGCGTGATCAGTGGAAGGAGTCTATTATTGTACCAGCTGACAAGAAGGGTGATAAAACTGACTAGTAATTATTGAGGGTTATCACTACTGTCAACTTCATGCAAAATTTTATCCAATATTCTTCTCTCAAGGTTAAGTCCATACATACACGTAGATGAAATTATTGGGGATCATCAGTGTGAGTTTCGGTGTAACAGATCAACTACGAATCAGATCTTTTGCATTCATCAGATACTGGAAAAAAAATGGGAGTACAATGAGACTACATCAGCTATTCATAGACTTCAAGAAAGCCTATGATTCAGTTAGGAGGGAAGTATTGTACAATATTCTGATAGAGTTTGGGATACACATGAAACTAGTTAAGCAGAATAACATGTGTTTAAACAAAACTTATAGTAAAGTCCATACAGGTAAACAGTTGTTTGATAAGTTTCCTATCCAGAATGACCTAAGACAAGGAGATGCTTTATCACCACTCCTTTTAAACTTTTCTTTAGAATATGGTATTAGGAAGGTCCAGCAAAGCCAGGTGGGACTGAAATTAAACGGGACACATTAGCTGTTGGTCTGTGCTGATGATGTGAATCTACTGGGTGATAACATAGATACCATAAAGAAAACACACAAACTTTAATTTACGCAAGTAAGGAAGTTGGTCTAGAAGTAAACACAGAGAAAACTAAGTATATGTTACTGTCTCGTTACCAGAATTCAGAGCAAAATCATAACATAACGATAGGAAACAGATGTTTTGAAAATGTGGCACATTTCAAATACTTGGAAACGATGATAACAAATCAAAACCTTATTCAGGATAAATTAAGTGGAGATTGAACTCGGGTAATGCTTGCTACCATTCAGTCCAGAACCTTTTGTCATCTTGTCTGCTGTCCAAAAAACATAAAAATTAGAATATACAAAACTATAATTTTGCTTCTGGTTTTGTATGGGTGTGAAACTTGGTCGCTGACATTAAGGAAGGAACATAGACTGAGGGTAACTGAGAACAGGATGTTGAGTAGAATATTTGGACCGAAGAGGGATGAAGTGACAGGAGGTTGGAGAAAACTGCATAATGAGGAGCTTCATAACTTGTACTCATCTTCAAGTATAATTAGAATGATCACGTCAAGAAGGATGAGGTGGGCATGACATGTAGCACGAATGGGGGAAACGAGGAATGCATATAGGATATTGGTGGGAAAGCCAGAAGGAAAGAGACCACTAGGAAGATCAAGATGTATGGGATGGACAATATTAAAATGGATCTTAGAGAGATAGAATGGGATGGTATGGATTGGATTGATCTGGCTGAGGATAGGGACCAGTGGAGGGTGAACATGGTAATGAACCTTCGGGTTCCATAAAATGATGGGAAATTCCTGAGTAGCTGCAGAATTGGCAATTCCCCAAGAATGCCTCAGCTCCATGAGTAAGTAAGTAAGTAAGTAAGTAATGACTCAAGTCAATATATGTTGAACCGCTCTCTAAATTAACTGACCTATTCTTCGTATCCTTTGTGTGGCCACTGTTTGCTAAAATAAGTAAATTGTCACAATGCCATGATGTGTGTTTCAGGTTTTGTATATTGGTAAAATCAAAGTCTCCCACAAGAAGGTGCCAGAGTCATTCATTGATGATGCATTGGAGAAATTCCGTGTGCATGAGATGGAGAAAGGGAAGAGTAAAATTGTGAAACAAGGCAGCAGTCATAATGTATCAGCAGCTGGAGCCCCCACTGGTAGCAGTCATAACGTATCAGCAGCTGGAGCCCCCACTTGTAGCAGTCATAACATATCAGCAGCTGGAGCCCCCACTGATAGCAATCATAATGTATCAGCAGCTGGAGCCCCCACTTGTAGCAATCATAACATATCAGCTGCTGGAGCCCCCACTGATAGCAATCATAACATATCAGCAGCTGGAGCCCCCACTGGTAGCAATCATAACATATCAGCAGCTGGAGCCTCTGCATGCAGCAGTGCACATCTCAGCGAAGCACAGACTCCAGGCAGCAGTGTTGTGATAGCCATGTGTCAAGATGAGGATCCATGTCATAGAGGATCGCTGGTAAGGCCTCTCCAATAAATCACGAATTGATATTTCTATCTTATTCCCTGCAGCATGTTTAGTCTTTGATAAGATAGGGTTGAATGGGAACTACTTGAGAGAAGCCACAGGGATATTATTGGGACACTGCTACTTGAAAAGATATCTATTTGAACTGGGACTGGTAAATAGTCCCACCTCTTGAAGGTATCATGATAAAGAAAAAGCAGGTTTACATGTTCAGTGGAATTTTGAGGTTCTAGCTGAATTAAGCTTTTGTCACATGGGAATCTAAATAGATCTGAGTAACTGTCATGAGGCCTCTTTAAACAGAGAGCTACATTCGAAGTGCTGGACTGCTAGAGGTTTAAATCTTATGAATGGAATGCAGACTGGATTGAAGATGGTTGTGGTGCAAGGATTTGTAAGAACTGCATCCTGTATATACAATGAACATATATAATTTTTACCATCAGTGCAACAATACTTTATTATTTATTTATTTATATATTGTGCACTACGTGTTTCGACCTCAAATGGGTCATCTTGAGGTGCTGCAAATTTCTCACATACTATTACCGAACTGAAACGCTAACATTCCAGTTTTTCTAAATGGTTCATACAAATTAGTTTAATTTCAATTCACAACCTAGGTAAAACCAGGCTTTGGTAAAAATTAACAATAAAATAAAATAAAATAAAAGGAGAATAAAAATCAGCATAAAAATCATGCATGTGATACAGTCATATATATAACAATGGGTTAAACCTAATTTAATAATTAGGTGATCCTAAATCCACAATTTGATATTTAAAATGATCTTTCAAAATGGTACAAGCTATGAGTGGCTTCGTGTTTGTTACTTCAGTAGACCACGCATAGGCTTCATCAAATTTCTTCTACTCTTTGCTGCATTGGATCGCCATGTTAGTACTATAATGTTACCATTCTCCAAGAGAATAGATCACTCTTCTTTCCTGTTGTCAGGAGCCAATGGTTAATATGTGCTGTTTATATTATGCGGTTCCTTGCGCTGCGTGGTTCATACTGCAGTAAACTATTTCATTTAAGGTTGCTAAATAATGAAGTATTGTTGCATTGACGGTAAAAATTATATTAATCTATCTAGTCATTGGTTCATAAGGGTAAATCACAAAAGTACTAACATTTTTCATTTTATTAGTGAATTTCGTTTTTAGATGTGTAATTTCTCTTTTATGTGACATTGTTCCATCTCTTGCTTGAAATGTTTTGTTTGTATGGATTGTATTGTGAACGTGTTTAACCACGTGGTGTTTGAAAGTCGATACCCTAATATGATTTGCTTCTGTCAATGTAATGACATGAATGAGAAATGGCTTTCAGAACATAGTATCTTAGTGCATCCTGAATGTGACATACCCCGCATCACAATATTTCAAGGCATTTATGTAGTCTAACATCAAAATTATTAACTTCCCTGCATAGAAAGCGACGCAAAACATTTAGATAAACCTCAGTGTTTTCCTTTTCAGTTCTTCCAGAGTTATATGCTTGATTTATTTCTTGGTTGACATGTCTACAGTTGACTAATCTGGTGTGCTTATGTATGTGTGTCTATCTGCTTATCAAATAATCCAGATCAAAACACAAACTTCAGGCTAAACTCACCTAGACATGATAATGGCTTTTTCAGCATGATGTATCACCACAATTTGGTGTTCTGGAAACAGGTAGGTTGGTGTAGGGATAACATTCATCCCTTATGTTTTGTTGGTACATGATATCACCTATTCTGACTGAGGTTTTCATGGGTTTCTTCAATATCTCAAGCAAATGTCAGGATGGCAGTACCTTTAGGAAGACAATGACCATTTCCTTCCAAATTGTTACTTACTCTCTTTTCAGAAAGTGCACAGCTCCTTTGAGGTTAAATAACCTCTACAGATGAAGCATTGCTATTGTATAACCTGAAAGTCAGTCAGAATAAGCACCGGCTCTTACTCTACTACTGATATAATTCCTGCACTGTCTTTAATTTTTTTAATTGACTTAGTGGGGGGTGGAGTTCAGCTGGGTCCACTCGGCACGGCGGCCACTGATTGGCCTATTGTACCTGCCCCGGGTGATTATGATGATGGACAAATTGGTGGAATGAAGATTGGCAGGGAAAGCTGAAGTACTTGGAGAAAACCTGCCCCAGCACCACTTTGTCCACTACAAATCCCGCTTGACCAGCTTGAACCTGTGCCGCCGCGGTGGGAAGCCAGCGACTTACTGCTTGAGCTATAGCATGGTCTCTGCACTGTCTTTACTCAGCTGTTAGACTTTTACTCATAAGAACTGTTTCCACAGTGTGAATGAAAAGAGATTCTAAGAGATATTCTCTCCCTTAGACCTATTTTGCAGTAAGAAAAGTGTTGTGACTGCTTCAGCTGGCCATTCAGTGTCTTTTGTTGATTTTAATCTCTCCCGCTCATCAATTAAAGTCATGTGCGTGAGTCGTATAATAACCTCCCTTTAATCTAATCTTTTACTTGGTGTCACAGGGCTCAGGGTGTGATGGAGACATGGAGACTGCTGACCAGCTGAATGCAGTGTCACCCACGGTTCTGTCCCCTTTGGTGCTGCCACCTACCAGCAGCATGAAGCTTGGGGATCCCATTGAGGCTCTCAGTATAACTTCTCAAGGGGAAGGCAGCATTTTGGTGGATCAGCATTCACAGCCATCAGCACCAAGTGAAGTGCTTCCAGTATGCACCAGCTCTACCCTCAGCAATGAATCAGCATGGATGAAGCAGCAGTAAGCAGTAATTGCAGTTTAGAGTTCCTTGCACTGGTAAAGCCTGATCTCACTTTCTTAAAAACTGTTATGTTTTGGAAATTGGCTCTATTGTTAAGAAGAAAGTTGTCTTCTGGGTTTAGGCGCCTTGTAATCTTCACCTAAACACAGAAGACGACTTTCTTCATAGTCATTGCCGTGAAAACCTCAAAACTTACATGGCTCTATTGTTGTCTTCAAGTGAAAAAACCTACTGTGTTGGGATCTTGGAAAGAGCTGCTCACAATCAGTGGGAGTATCTTTAAGTAGGGACCTGACAGAATAGGTTTCATTCTCATGATGACAGAATTATAGCCAGTTTCTGAAATTTGGACAATGTACAAAGTTCAGAAAAGTAGTAGCCATTGTGTCACACCATTAGCAAAGTACTTTGAATTATCTGCCTGCAATGAGGAGTTTTGTGGTTTTGTTTAGTTACCGTCAGTCCTGGGGATTCAATGATAGAAATTTGAATATTCGCTGCCATGAGAACATCAAGTATTGACGTGTATAATGTTTTTGTGCTTTTAGGTCACTTCCTCTGGAGCCTATGAGAAACCGAGCAGCATCCACTGGTAGTGCAAAGGAGTTGAGGAAGTCAGAGGGCACAGTAAGTAGCTCTGAGACATGCACTGGCCAAGTGTCAGACCACCAGTGATGCTGCAACTAGTGTAACTGTGAGACACCACACACACATGTCAAAATTGGTGATAAATGAGGTAGGGCATTGGTGGAATGATGATTGGAGGGGAAAGCTGAAATAGCCACAGAAAAATTTGCTTTGGTATCACTTTGTTTGCTGAAAATTCAGTAGGGATATCTTGTGATTGGTATAAATCACTTGCCTTCAGAAATCATTCCACTTCTGTATTTTCAATTTAAGTATCAATAGTGGCAGCATTTTAATCCACAGATGACATAATTGAGGAGAGATTTGGTTGTATAAGGTACCAGTGTTGGTATTAATGATGGGCAGGCTGTATACCAAATTTCATGAAGACTGGTGAGGGCATTCAAAGAATATTAAGGTTTTGCTTCAACAGTTTGAGGGTCTGTAATATTAATAATGCTGATGACAAAAGTTGGCACAAACTTCACTGACAAGCGGCGGTCGCTTAGTCAATATAGTTCGCTTGCAGACTAAAACCATGGAGTTCTTATTTGTTTGTTTTGTTTGATGAGAAGGGTTTATGATGTATGCTGTTGACCTCAGGTGGCATAATATACATACAGTGTCTTATGATAATAGGTTTATGAATTCAAGTAGTATAATATTAAGGTTATTACCTCAACAGTTTGAGAGGCTGCAGTATTGGTACTACTGATGGGAGGAGTATCTACTCACATAGCCAGAGGTGACATGACTTATGTACAATGTTTTATGATGATAAGTTCATGGATTCAAATAATATTAATGTTAATACCTCAACAATATGAGAACCTGCAGTGTTGGTATTACTTGTTGGAGAGATTCAGGAAGAATACCATTGAGATAGCCTTAGGTGTCATAAAGTATGTAACAAGTATTCATAAATATTGGTTCAGGAATTCAAAAGTTGTTGAAGTGGGGCTATACATACTGATACACAAGACAGCAACGTGATCTCATAAGCCCACTTTTATCTTTTTTAAAAGGAAGAAAGTTGTCTAAAAGTAGAATCGTAAATTTTCTGGGCATTATCCACCATAATAATTTTTATTTTAAATGATGTTTGAGAGTCTAAGTGTTGTCTCCATCATCATGTAAAAAATCCACTCTGTTAGGCCAAATTCATGGACCCAGTCCCCATGTCAAGACACAGTAGTAACAGAAGGCATGATATATAAACCAAATGAGACGGAACCCACCTATGGGAGGTGGGATAAAAAGACATCTTCATCTACATGCATGATACCTTCACTAGTGAAGACAACAGCACACGCTGCTAGAAGGAACAATGCACGAGCAAGGGGCATATTGCAGATTGCAGATGTAACAGAACAATGGGCTAACGAACATAAAAACAAGCTGCTGCAATAAAGCATCTGCAGATAAACATATACGAGGGGGTACTCAAAAGAAACCGAACTTATTTTTTTTTAAACTTATTTATTCAAATTTTAAGCACAAACCTTCAGTCCCCTTCAAAGTACTCTCCACTTACACTAATACACTTGTCTAGTCTTTTATTCCATTTTTCAAAACATTGTCTAAATTCATCTTTTGAGATGCTTGACAGCGCCTTTGTCGTTTTTTCCTTCACCTCAGCAACATCAGCAAAACGCTTTCCTTTCATGTCTCTTTTCATTCGAGGAAACAAAAAAAAAAGTCGCACGGGGCAAGGTCGGGTGAGTATGGAGGGTGAGGAACAGGGGCCATACCATTTTTGGTCAAGAATTGTCATAGAGACAGGGCTGTGTGACCAGGGGCATTGTCATGATGGAAAAACCAGTCACCCGACTGCCACAAATCTGGCCGCTTTCGCCGCAAACTGTTGCGCAATCTTTTCAAAACTTCCAAGTAGAAAGCCTGGTTAACTGTCTGACCCTGCGGAACAAACTCTGAATGGACGACTCCTCTCACATCGAAAAAACAAATCAGCATTGTTTTCATGTTTGATTTCACC